TCCCCTGCTGAGTTACATTTATGGTCCTTTTCACCTTGCCCATTCCCCGTGAATCACGTGCTATGCCCCAGGGGTGGCACCTTCCCCCGTTGCCTAGATACCTGCTGACCCCTAGAGCCCAGACTTCCTCATTCCTACACTCCTTATATATACCCAGCACCTCCCCTGAATAAACGAGACTTGATCAGAATCCTGTCTTGTCTTCATTTCTCGCATCTCCTGTCCTTTGTCCCCTCTTCAATTCCCGGCTCCTCTCCCAGGTGACCTTCATTGACTGACCCGCTAGTTCGGGACAACACCACACAACACTGCCCTTCCTATCCCTTAATCTCTTTCTATGAAAAAGAAGTAAATTACATATTCAAGACATCATCTATGTTTCACAACCTGTTATATATTCACATTTTATATCATCTCTTTATACTCAGCACAAAGTCTGAGGACACAGATGAAGCTGTTTCTGAAGAATGTCTTTTCACTTCCTAAAAGCCCTAAGAAAGTTTAGGGGGAGAGGTGCCAAGAACACAGGCCGTGACATCGTGGGATCAGGTAAGCGAGCACATTGTACCGAGTGTCCAGAGACTGTGCGGCAGCAGTCCCACACAGGATCAGCGTCACCTCATCGAAAGTGCCCCTGCCTGAGACTTGTGACCTGCTGCTCCAGCGCTCTCCAAAGGTGACAGACCACTCTCAGTAACAAGGACAGTGAAATATCAAGAAAAGATAATATCACCTTCATAGCATTTTGCGCCTTTGTGGGAAGGAAGAAAATTTTTACAAAGACTTATACTAAAACAGCTGTAAGGAACCACAAATGGTAGTATTTAAAGGTTAATTTTTGCTTCTCTGGACATTTTAACCAGAACTTTTCCCACTGCTGTTCATGATAATTCAAGGTTGGGTTGTGTTTTCATTTTTGAAGTCTATTTTTTTTAAAAAAAACCACTTAACTGGGCTGGTGAGATGGCTCAGTGGTCTAAAGCATCTACTTAGAACAAGCTTAGCAAAGCACAGGGA